GTTTTTTATTGAATTCCATAACTTATTGTTTAATTAACATGTTTCAAACAAAGCCACAACAGCAATGCTGCTAGAGACTGGGCTTCTTTCTCTCTTCCTATGCTTGACAAATGGCCTTGGGTAGATAGTTAATTTTTGGGCTTGTTTTTGCCTTTTGGATGGGTACTTGTTCGTTTGTTTGTTTGCTTTAGAGCAAAGCCACACTAAGCTATCTGCTGTGTTCATCACGGGGAATCAAACCCCGTATTTTAGCATTGTCAGTTCGTAAACTTACCGTTGTCCCGTCAGAGAACATAGATGGGTACTATTTTGGGTATATTTTTTAATTTGTTTAAAGCATTGACTATATATTTTAAGAAAAATGTTAGAGAACTGTGTAATGATACACAAGTCGCAAGAGTTACATCACTCTCTACTGCCTGCAACTACAGAAGTTATGTATGTGTGTCTTTTAATAGAGGAGCGTTTGAATTGAATCTAGTGGTCCACTTCATGAACATTTCAAAGAGAATAATCGTGCCACTGCTAATCTTGATGAGGAAAAAAAAGAAGCTACCACAGAACATTACATCAATTCGCGTGGCATAATTGTACAAAATGCCCATCATATCAAAACCTTAGAGAATTGTAATAACTTTCTTTACAGGAAATTAATGAATTTCTGCTGATTCAACCCAAACGCTCTTCTATTAACAGATACAACGCCTGGCCCTATAAAACTATCGTTATTTTAAGTAAGGTTTAACAATAATTTTGGACTGGCATGGCCAGGTGGTTAGGACAATCGACGTGCAATCTGTGAGTCGATGGTTTGAATCCCCGTCCCATCAAACATGCTTGCTCTTTCAGCCGTAGGGACGTCTTAATGTGACTTAAGTCTTAATCCCACTATTCGTTGGTGAAAGAGTAGCCCAAGAGTTGGTGATGGGTGATGATGACTAACTGCCTTCCCTCTACTCTTTCAATGCTAAATTAGGGACGGCTAGCGCAGATAGCCTTCGTGAAGCTTTGTGTGAAATTCATAACAAACAATAACTTTTTCATGCTTCGACTGTACCATCCTTTTGCATTGTTGTAGCCTTGTATTATTTTCGGTTGCTATCGTTTAAAAATTAGTTTTATAACCTGTAATGTTGAAAGATTCTCAAAAAGGGGTAAGCTGAAACACTGGGTAAAATAAAAATAGAAAACATTTCTCTGAATTTTTTAGTTGTCTTTCTTGGGTATTTAACATACTACCCATGAAGTTCATATATTACTATTAATGTCACTCACTCATAAATATTTCAATTCCATCCAATAGAAATATCTTGCTCTTCTGTGTTTTCTCTCAGACATAGTGTGAATTTCTTTGTTACTCTAACTCCTCCATGAAAATTCACTACCTGTCAAATATTGTAATTTCGAAACTGAAACATTCCCAATCCAGTATTAATGAAAATAGCGGGATCAATGTATATTAAAATAATACTTTCTAAGCCAGTAATCACAGTTAACCTTATATCACAAAGTCTTAACATACAGATCTAATCCTTTGTTTCCATTCACATCTTGCTTAACCATTGTGTTGTTTGAGTAATTGATACATTCGTATTATTCAACACTCCTGAATAATTATGCAAGGTCCATACACGTATGTTACACCACAAACATTGCTACATACATATAACACCATAACATATTGTCACATACTCTAGTAGCTTATGAGAGACTGTCTCCAGCTCACATGAAAAGTACTTCATACTTTCTTGGGTTACTTTCCTAAGCCACAACTTGATAGCTGTGGTTCTGAAACATGCTGCTATATAGAAATCACCAGACTCAATTTTTCTTTCCTTTCAATAATCACACAAACAATACTCAGCCAAACTGAGACTTTTCAGCTAAAATTCTAATCGACCAGGTTAATATTTGAGCTGTTACTACTGAATGTCCACATACATAAAGAGGAAACACAAAAAACTTACTGTATGTAAAAATACTTCAACAAGTAGTCAATGGTATCCAATGTACACAAATGATCTTTTTCAGTCTCCAGGAGTGAACCAGTGATATTCAGGGCTATTTTCTGTAGAGGGAATAGATTATTTGTATGCTGAAGTTTATATTGTCTTAGGCAGTTCTACTGCTGGATGCACACATCATACAGTGCTCATATCAATGCTAAGTATCTCAATTTGAATACAACCAGTAGAACCACTGTTGAATGTTAGCACAAGCCTGGTTAACATATTGGTGCACTCCAGTCTTTTTGTTATGCAAATTAACCTTTTGCCTTGTGAGGGCCATTAGTTGAATCACAGTCTGACAATCATGGCTCACTGGTTGATAACAGTAGTACAGCACACTTTCATGTACTCACAAATTATCAAAAAGTTCAAAACTACTTAAATTTATGCTACTTTACTCTATTTTTTTTTTTTTGGTGAAATTTACCTTACTGCATGGCTTGATATCGCTTTGGAAGAAATGGTTTCAGATCCCACATGATGTTCAGGATCAGGACATTCAATGAATGGACACAGACTTACAGTACAGAGAGACAATCTATCTGCACATATCCCGTTTGAATTTTAAAGTTCATTACATATTTCAGGAAAGTACGATCCATTGAACCTCCTGCCACTCAAATAGTTTCAGTAATATTTTACAAAGACTACAACTTCAAACAGTTCTTTCTTTGGTAATACAGTATTTTGCTTTCTGGAGTCATTGATCTACCACTAGCATGCTCAATTACATATTTACTCTATATTGCAACTTTCATAACACTGCCAGTAGTAAAGTCTCCACTAAAGCAAGCTTAAGTAAATTGAATGCCTCTTCAAATTCTTCACTCCATCCAACTACATCTCCGTTTTACTGAGAGCAAACAATATTGTTGCTATCATGATGTAGCTAGCAACAAACCAATGGTAAATAAAATGTAAAAAAAACAAGAAAACCGCTCACTTATTGCTTGATCACAGGTTGAGGCCAGACTCTCACCACTGCCATCTTAGCAGAGTCTGTATACTCCATCACAACCTGCTATATGACTTTAAAATTTTTCTTTCTTTATACACTTGAATACAATTCTCAGACTCTTGCCTACAGACTCAAATGTGTGACCAAACATCAAAATATCGATATGTACCAGATATCTTTGTCATTGCAGCTCCTTCAGTGTAAGCTCCCTTAGCCTCATGAAAGTGGCAGACACATTATACAGGTCAAATGTATGATTCAATACTTATACAAGTCAACTTTTGTATTAAAAGCAGTATTAGGTCTGCTCTTGTCACCCAGCTCGAGTTGCTAGCATCTGGAGGCTAAATCTAAAATACTGAACCAACAAAAACCTTCCAGAATCTCCAGATATTCATGTGTTCATAGCAAGGGGAAGGCAGCATTGCAAGTTAACACATTCACCCATCTAAAATCAACAATGATTCTTGGCATACCTTCCTTCTTTCTGACAGTCACTAATGGAGGTGACCAAGCACTCTCTGAAAGATGTATGATCCTGTCCTTTAACATCCACTGTATCTCAGTGATAGTTACATCCATTAGTGCTCCAAGAAGCTGGCATGGTGGTTGCTTAATCAGACATGCATTGTTTGTATCTATGTGGAGACGAGTTACTACCATTTGGCCCACATATGCTTCTAGTACCAGAAATACATTGGGATTTTCAACCAACAATTTACTGAACTGCTTTTGCTTTTTTGGCTCTACTTTGTTTGCATAATCTTCAATGAACAATCGCACCTAGGCTACCAACCATGTACTTGCATTCAGATGCAGTACAATGGATGCAATCCTAGTGTCACTACTAACCTTGGTTACTTTTATAGTTCTATTATACTTACCACATCAATTAGCTTTTCATTTTAAAACTGGTTGGACGTTCATTTATAATTCCAAGACAATACCAGGACCTCCTCCTTAGACAGATACTGTCTGAGTTAACTCTGCTTGTATTATGCACAGGAAACATTTCATTTTGTATGTGTGTCTTATAATTATCCTATAAGAGATATTGTAACCTCGAGATATCGTCAGACCTTCCAAAGATTCAGCTTTATAACCGTTATGATCATGGGGGGATCAGGTGTTATATTCAAGACAATGACAAAAAAAAGTTAGCTAAAATGAAATCAACCTAATGAAGTTTGACCACATGTTATGCTAAAATTACATAAACCTAGAAATGTATTTTAAGAAATTTAAGATTCCACATCAAAATAAGAAAGTATAAAACGCATGGTATGCCTGTATACCAAATTGTCTTCTCTTGAGAACTTCAACCTATTCAAGTTATTCATAGTTAACTCATCAGAATTTCAACCAGTCAACTCCCAGTTCTATATAAATAACACTTTTATAGACAACACAATGTTTGATGTATTTTACTTGTTTATTACGGAATAATTTTTGTGCCTATAAAACTTTTGAGGATAAGTGTTGTGGAAAACAAAAGTTTACGATATAATTTTGTGTTAAGCAAATATTGTATTTGTTAAACACAATAACTGTATCATTAAAAAAAAGTATTAATTGAAATAATCTTAAATTCTCCATTTTTATAGGTTTAAATATGGTTCTAAGAAAAATGTTAAGTAAATAATTATATAGATACACATGGCTTTTGAATCCTGAGCTTTAATAAAATTTAAGCACATACAAACGACATTTGGAGCATTTTACAGGGTTAACTCACTTATAGTTAGATAATACAGTTTTTTGCTAACCTAAGTTGTTTCTTACTTTGTATTAAAATAAGTTGTTTTCCTGCAGCTTTCCTGACTGCTTAGTAATATAGACAGTTTTTGTTTATTTTTGCCAAATCCACTTGATTCTCCAGAAAACTCTTCGTGTAGGAAGTTTAAACAAAACTTGAAGCTTTGGTGTTTGCTCTAGTTAAATGTTTTTAAGTATTGAGTATATAAATATAAAATTTCTTTGTTTATGGAAACCTCACTTTCAAAATAAAATTACCTTTTGTTCTTTTGTTATAGGCGATAATCATGCTGAAGAATCTTGCTAACGGAATCTGCCCTGATGCCAAACTATCAAACAAAAACTCCATTTATCACAGGCAGACTGAAACTATTAAAGACATTAAACATCACGTTCTTGTCACAGGGGGCGCTGGTTATCTTGGTTCAACTCTTGTTCCTCTGTTGCTTCAAGAATGCTTTCAGGTCACAGTTTACGATACGTTCAATTACGGAATCTCTTCTCTTCTTACACTTGTTCATAATCACGATTTGCAAGTCATAAAAGGAGACATCCGTAATGTAGAAGACATACAAAAAGCCATGAAAGGCGTAGATACCATCATTCATCTAGCTGCCGTTGTTGGTTACCCCGCGTGTGATAAAGATCCAGCTCTGGCAATTTCAGTCAACGAACAAGGCACCAAGAACATTGCAAATTATTTGCAACCTCACCAGAAACTCATTTATGCTTCTACTGGGTCCTGCTATGGTGTTGTCGATAAAATATGTACAGAAGAAACAAAAATATCCCCACTTACCTTGTACGGAAGGACCAAAGCGGCCGGAGAGAAGTTTGTTCTTTCCAAAGGTGGTGTGGTTTTACGTTTGGCTACAGTTTTTGGTGTTTCGCCACGCTTGCGTTTGGACTTACTCATCAACGACTTGACCATGAAAGCGGTAAAATTTAGAAAGTTCGACTTATATGAGGGTAACTACAAAAGGACTTTCTTGCATGTGAAAGATGCAGCTCGCGCCTTTCTCTGTACACTAAAAAATTATAAACGAATGAGGGGAGAAGTCTTTAACATCGGAGACGAAAGTATGAACATGACTAAAGCTGAAGTAGCCTTTAAAATCAAGAAACTGGTACCCAGTTGTGTTATCCAGACTTCCACATCAGGAGAAGATAAAGATAAAAGAAACTATTCAGTTTCTTATGCAAAAATACGAAAGTTAGGGTTCAAGTCTTCTATTACAATCGAAGAGGGCATAAAAGAACTTCTAAAAGTGCTTCCCAACTTATCTGTTTCCGAAGTATCACTAAGCAAAAATGTATAACCGCTCAAAATTAGAAGCATACTTTTATTTCATATTGTTTGTGTATGACGCAGTTTTTGTAATGATCGAAAACCTATGATTTTAATCCTTTAAAATATTGACTATGAAGTGGAACTAAACTGGCCTAGTCCTATCATAACTGTATTAGTGTTTTAGTTACAGATCATATTAACAATACCTTAACATAGAAATTCATTAGTGCCTAATTTATTAGTTGTTCTGATGTTTTCGCTGTACCTTCAATTCTTTTCCTCAAAACAACAGATGATTCTGTAAGATTTATTTTCAAGACACCGTGATAAAATAATGTAGTCACTGAAATATAAACACTTGTAATAAAAGTCTCCATACTTACAACTTGCTCCATTACATCAATAGAATAAAACAAGATATACACCTTTGAAAAATGCTACCAACTAAAATCAACAATTGTAACGTGCTTATGACACATTGCAATACTATTCACTATTTGTAAGGTATCGGTGTTTAGCTTGATTAATCACGTGTAGACTTAATTTGCTCTATTATGTTGTTGTCTTTATTTTATTTTTTCTTCGTTATGCTCTAAAGACAGTAGCCTGGTCGCTCTTGTTTAACTTCAGCATTAAGCCATTTTCACAAAGGGTACCGTTCAGTTTGAAATTTCCGCTTCCTTTTCATCGTTAAAAATTGTTATGACGGACTACACGTGAAATATTACACTAGCGTTATTTCACAGGAAAATATTTGGCTTCTAAAATCATTGAAATAAACTACCTTAGAAAGGGAAACTTAGACTGAACAAAGTTTGACAACAATCTTGTTTGAGATTAAGAGAACAGCAAAAAAAATGTCAAGCTTCAGTTGAATATGTTACTTTATAACTATTTTTACTTGTTTATTTTAGCTAAGCGGTTTTAAGTACTAAAATAATGCAAAAGTAAGTTGTAGAAATGTTCTTAAAAGTTCTGCAAGTCTCCTAAAAAATGGGATACCAACCATATAATATCATGTTTAATGACAAACAACATGAAACCGATATTGACTGAACTCCTGCATTTACTTCACCGAAGGTAGCGTTAATACAACTGGTTTGGGAGTCAATGTTCTTTTTTACCTGTTTTATCTAATGTTTTAGAAGGTGAATAAGAGTAAAAGGTCGGCGAAGGTTTATGTTCTACGAGAAAAAAAAACACGTATGGCTTTTATCAAAGCTGCTTTAAACATACAAGGAAATTATTGTGGATTATCTCTATGTTTTACATCACATTTTGTTAATGGTCAACTAAGCACGCGAAGCCGTTAGTTCTCGTGGTTCGTGAACAATAATTCAAGTCTATAAGGTTCGACAGTAAATCTGAAATCATGGATTATGTAACAACTAGATGATTTATAACTATAGACTTCTTCAGTGGCTTTTTTCACTGATTTGACAATTACTTTTTAAGAATATGGAAAACATAGCACTTCTTACCTTATTCGAGAAACCAGGTATTTTTCTGACACTAAGGACTGTTCCAGTTGACAGAAGACTATGCTTTTTCGCATCCTGAATCATAGTCACATATACATGAACTCATATTAACGTGATGCCGTATAATGGCAGTTAAAGTTGTACAGAGGGTTAAATATTTTATATTACAACGGTTTTAAATCAGCAAGTCACATAACAACCACAACCGATATGGAGTGTTGTTGGACGGCCTGTATCACAACTAAATTTTGACATTGTTTGGCGTTTTTTTTTTTTTTGGTACAGCGCTTCCACCGAAAAGTGATAAATTTTGAGAAGGGTATTTAACAGTCCTTTCAGACATGAAGTATTCATACACACAAATCACAAAGATGTGTTCAGATCGGAAATTAATAGTGCTATTGTCAAAATTCACAACTGTCGGACAGACAATGACCGGATGTGGCAACATCCAATGTAATACGTGTTGAGGCTCTAAAATCGTTTTAATATTCAGTATAACATACTCAACCTCTGTATTTTTGTCGATTTTATTTAAAAATGAAGACTTTTAGGACCAGAAGCATATTGTATGGCATTGCTTTTTCGCAGTATCGTTACATCTTTATAGTCCCAAAATATAATGAATTGATGATTCTACCCGTAAACAAGTTTTAAGTGTTCCTTATTGTTTGTCATCTGTATTTTTATTCCATGCGATTTGGATTGTTATATGTTACTTTCTACCTGTAGCACGTCTTAGTTCTTGACAGAGCTAGTTGTATACGTCATAGATTCTAACTGGACTGAAACGTTTTGCTTCCAAAAACTCCAAAATTAATGTAATCGGACACTTTGTCAGTTTCGCTGCCAAAGTTATACAGTAATATTTAATTCGTAATTTACACATGGATTTCTAAAAGTTGACTGAATTTGTTCAATACATTTAACAGAACATAAATAAAAAACTATTATCGTAATAATGTATTGCCCCCCAGTGGCACAGCGGAATGTCTGCGGACTTACAACGGTAAAAACCGGGTTTCGATACCCGTGGTGGGCAGAGAACAGATAGCCCTTTGCGCAGCTTTGTGCTTAACTACAAACAAACAGTAATGTATTTACCTTGACAGTAAATTTACAGACTTACAATTCTAGAATTCGGGGATACAATTTCCTGTGGTGGTAAGAGTAGAGACAGCCAATTTTTTAACTTTGTTCTAGCAAACTAAAGATAACAGGACAAAAACCTCGAAACTCAACAGGACTGTACATGTTCCACAAACGTACTCACTCTAAGTCGTCAGAGATGCCATATATAACTACTGCTGCATCGTGTAGGCCTGCGGAAATAGATGCTGATCTCTTGAAGTCCAAGAAACTACATGACAGATGCATTGTAAGCATAACAGCCTAAACTAGAAGCACCGCACTGAAATGGGTGAATTAGAATTGGCAGACTACGTAACAGAGAGTAATTTTGCTTGCTGACCAAAATATCGTACAGTCCAGCTGGTAAAACACCCAATGTAAAGATCACCTTTGGGAATTTTTGAAAAGTCTAATGTTGCATCAGGTACTTCCATCTTTTATCTAGAATGACCTTTTGCAAGATAGTCCTTGCAACTCCACAATGTGCCACAGATTACTGGGCAGTTTTCACAGTTCAAGCATTTGCTTTGCTAAAGCAGTCATTATATATATCTTGTACAATATTGGGACAATCACAGTTGGAAAGGGCATTAACAATTCAATATATATAATCACCTATGAAAGAAACTTATCGGTTAGTGAAAACAACATTCACTAACCTCCATTGTTTGATGAGGCTATTGACTGCTTCAACCTCCCAATGCACTTTGGTAACCAATTTTGATATGATGGATTCCTCAATTTTGTGTAGCTTGAGGGAGAAAACATGGCATCTGTGTTTTAATTCCAAAGTTACTTATAAGCTTGACCATAACTCTAAAACCACGGTCTGTAATAGCAACAACATGTGGTTGCAGACAAGCTCGGGTATCTTCAACGTCTTTTACAAATATATATATATATATTGAATTATTACAGCATGATTATTTTTCCCATCAGCAAGGATCATAGCTTATGTATAGTGTAGTTCCTTCGTTAGAATGCATAGTTAGCACTTATAAATACATATATATCATCTAGAACTAGGACTACTATATCATCTTTTCCCATCAGCCAACACTTCCCTTGCAAAGAAGCGAGTGTGAGTGTCAATTCTCTCTTGAAGACTAATGTGCCAAGTTGCAAATAAAGTAGAACAAAGTCGCTTAATAAAGCTGTACAAGCCAAGTAGACTGTCCTCTGTACGACTAAATAATACTTTATACCCCAAACAGTTTAAAGTATCCTATTTAACATTTCCAGTACAAAATTAAACCGATAGGACAGCTAACCATGCCTGCTTGTTTGTTTGTTTTTGAATTTCGCGCAAAGCTACACGAGGGCTATCTGCGCTAGCCGTCCCTAATTTAGCAGTGTAAGACTAGAGGGAAGGCAGCTAGTCATCACCACCCACCGC